AACCATCTCTTGGAGAGGATTCCCTAGGCAAGGCCTTCAGATCTGCTCTTTTGAATAGAGGGGCTTGTTCTGTGTGCACAGATAGCACTGGCTGTCAGATCAGTAGTACTGGAGCGCTCGAGCGATGAGTAAAAGTTTGGTGCTCTGTCACCCATGTAACCTTAAAGACCTCTTGGGAGCAGCCTGTATGATCCAGTCACAACACAGCTTTTCTGAATGTTACGATAAATCTACGTTGAGTGTAACACAGGCATCTCTCCCCAGCTGTTGGCATGAACAAGTTGCTTTGCTGGCTTGAGAGACCTTTCTAGTCACTGGCTGCTCTTGCTGTGGAGCTGCTGTAGAAATTAAACTCTCCATGTTGTGGATGCAATGACCCAATGCCAGCCAGATCCTCCTTCTCCAGACCAACTGTTTTGATAGTGGTTTTGCAGGACTGACCCTTGTGGTCATTTGTTCTTCAGATGGGTCTGCAGTTTTATAAATGCTTTTTCCTGAGTAATGCTGATGCCTGCGCGCAAATAAGAAAAAAATAAGATAGCAGTTGGCTTTTTTCAAAATGCAGAAGGGGCAAAGCAGCCTCTAATACAGAAAAAGCTTTGTAACACTCTGAGGCCTGGAGATAACCAAGCTTATTGAAATGTAATTTGTTTCTTAATCTTGCTCCTATAAGACTGCTTAAAGTTTGTGGGATTTTGTCTTGTTATTTCAGAACGTGCTTAGATGTAGCAAATGAGAGTATTTAATGTGAGCATCGCACTTTGTGAGGAAAATTTACCTCTTGTTTAACCTGCTGTGTAATGGAGCTCTCAGCCTTCTCTGCTGGGCCAAGGAGAAAGAGCATTGCAAAGAAGGTGACAAAACACAAAGCAGTGTTCCTGAAATGACAGTCTTTAAACTTTCATATTGTTACTTATCAAGGTGCAGCCTTGGAATGTGGTTTCCCTTGTAACAAGAAAATTAGGTACCAGCTGCAAGCCCCAAGGAATGGGGAAGGTGTTTTCAGAGAAGATGCTGTTTCAGTCTCTCATACATATGCTGCTTTTGTGTTTGTTTTAACTATTTTACTTACTTTTTGCAGAAATTACCCAAGGTCCACCAAGAAACCCACCCAAAAGTACAGCCTTACACAGCGGGTAGCAAGAACTTGGCCAAACACCATCATTTCCTGACCACTTCAGCGTAGCCCTGTCACAGCCTTTTCTAATGTCTGATTTTGCTGCTGAGGGACTGTGCTGGTTCTTGTTCTGCATTCAGAGTTGTTCTTCGTTGTTCTGGTTTTGAGTGGTTTGTATTTTCATAAGTTGTTTTATGATCTGTTTTTAATAAGGTCGGTGGAAGTTCCTGTGTTTTAGAAACATTTGGAACTGTGTTTGAAGTCCAACTTAAATGTGGTCTGTTTTGTATAGGTAACTTCTATGTTTTGCATCAGCATTATCCTTTGAACTGAAAACAACCTCCTCGTAGAGTAAGTAACATGTAGTTGGTGTTCAAGAGGCAAGATTGCACGTTGGATGTGAGGATGAAATATTTCAATAATGGAAACTGGAAAATGTGCTTTGAAGTGGAAAAGCTTTTTTTAAAGCTTGGACTTAAACCTTGGCATTAAATCTCCTGCAGTGATTGGGGTCCCTTTGAATAACATTAAGGTTTTAAATTGTAAAACCAGCTTGTGGCTGCTGTCCCCCTCCATTTGGCAGAGACAAAGTTGTGCTTGTTTACAGTAAACTCAGGAGCAGCTGTTGATTTGGTTATGTCTTGTCTTGTTCTGTTGTTCTTTCTGTCCCTGAAAAGTTTGCTTTTTTGATTGTTTTTCTTGTTTCATTTGTAACTTCTCTTGTAAAAAATGTTTCATGAGATTTTTCACTTCGGTTTATAAATATTTTGCACCGGTTAGATGTAGTTTTCTTCTCTGCTGTGTTATTGTGAGGCTCTCCCCTTTCACTTGCCTGCTTTCTGGAGTGCCCAGAAGAGTGTGACCTCCTGTTCTAGGAGCTACACAGGCTGACAACAACCACTGGCCTCCGTGCTGCCTCCATCTCCTTCCCTAACAGAGCATAGAAACTCCAAATTATTTGGAGGATTTGTAAAACAGAGATAAGTTGATTTTCTGCAAAATGCTCTTCCTGGAGTGCTAGCAGGGCCTGCACAGACCACGTGAACCCTTCAGGTGTTTATAGGTGGATTTCAGAGAGCAAATTAGGTTTATTTGTGGAGGAAATTGTACTATATTTTTATTACAGTAATTTGAATCTTTTGGTGACACTTTTGGCTACTGTGATTTTAAAGAAATAAAACTTAGGTACAGTACTAATGTTTTTCAGTGTTCTGATTCATATATTTTGCCCTTCTGTAGTACCTTTCAAAGCCAGAGCGGGACAGGAGGAAGTGGCTTTAAAAAGCGGGCAAAGTTTGTCACTGTCCTAGATGTGCAGTGACTGAGGCACAGAGAATCGAAGTAATTTGTCCAAAGGATAAGCAGTGAAGCTTGGAACAGAGCCTGGTATTGCCTGACTGCACTAGCTCCCAGATAATACTGCCTCCATTAACAAAGTAATCCATATACCACAATTTTGTGGGGTGGGGAATGTCTTTTTTTTTTTTTTTTTCCCCCCCACCCCCTTGGGATGGGATGTACAGGCATGGGTGGTACATGCCCATTGTTAGGGCTTTGTGTCAATAACTGATCTTTTCAAGTTAATAATGTGTTCTTAATGCCAGCATAGCCTCTCATGGGACTTCTACCACTAAATTTTGCATAGAAAGAGAAGGTGACGTCCCTTGGCAGCCATTGATTGGGTAGTGGGGGGCTTGTTGGTACATGGCAGCTGTTTTCTTTTAAACCAGTGAATCCCACGTATCATCCAATTGAAGTGATGTCTCTGAAAAAGGAATAATTTTATTGTGGTCCTGAGGGCAGTTTTATGTGCTGTCCAGGTTGTTGTCATATCTGTAAAGTCCACCCGCTCCTAAGATACACATAATAAAGGAAGGAAGAGGTTTGCCTCAAATTTCCTTTTTCTTGTCATTTTGAAAAGGCAAGTGGGATAGCAGGAGCCTGGCTGCAGAGCATCTCCCTCCCCCTGCCTTGCAAAAGCCGGCTAGCTTGCCTGCCGGAGGGTTTATCTGATATTAAACTGCTAACAGACTGGCTCTTTGAAGGCCCAGAAGTAGCACGGGCCTGGCAGCAGCTGTTGCAGACACATACTGCTGGGACAGCGAAGCTCTGTCTCAACCAGTGATCGATGGTCGCTGCTGATCGACAGTGATGTAACGGAGCAGGGACAGGGCGGTAGGAAGGCAATCTGCTCCCTTTGCTGTGCGTGCTGAGGCGCTGCCTTTTATACGTTCAGAGCTTTCCATGCTCGCTGTCTTGATTTTGTTATATGTCTTTTTATGAGATTATTATTAAGTGATGCATAGCAGTCAGGTTGTTATTTATATTAGCCTTCTCTTAAAGCAGGCATTCTGTTGCCAGTCCAGCCATGCTGAGAAAATGAAATTATTCTGAACAGGCAGCACCTTACCGTGACAGCAAGATGATGGTGTCTGTACATGTGCTGTGTCTGAGGCCAGCTTCCCTGTGCTGGAGGACCTCAGGCAGAAGCGGGTGCCTCCTCCTGAACGTGTGCTTTGTGGTCTTTGTGAATGTAAAGCTCTCACATGAATGAACGCTGCTGTGGAGCGGCTCTGCGCTTTGTAAAGGCTTTAGGCTTCTGGGCAGCCTTATTACTGAAGATTTCATTCTTTGACATTGCAACCGTGATTCATATATGCTGAATGGTAAAGATACTGGAAGGGGAGGGAGAGATTGTGTATTAAGCCTTCGTGGAATGACATACTGCGTGTTTGCTGCTAGAGTGTAGCCACGGGCTCTGTGGTTTTTGCTGTAGTAGAATCCAGCAACATCAGATAAGATTGGAAGAGACTGTGCAAGCCCTGCGTGAGCTCTGATGAAATGTCTTACAATTAAAAATTTAATAACATTCATCAATGTATCACAGTCTAACAACAACAGCAGCTAGAAAACAATGAGACTGAAATTAAACTACCAAGTGGCTTTTTCAGCCGTCCTCTCAAAAGCTAACCAACGCTTCCCTACTCTGGTGCTGTAAGGTAATTCTAAATGGGAGGAGGAAATTATGTCCTGAAACGTGAAATAGTGGAAGCTGATGATATTCTCCCTTTGGTTTGAGAGGATGTCTAGTACTATGCTGGTTGCATCCTCTGCAAAACCGGTCTGGATGGTATAAATGGGCTATATTTAGCAGTTGGTGGCACTGGGTGCGGGGTTTTTGTCAGTTAAAAAGGACAGCGATGTGCTGGGAAGTGTCAAATGGCATCGTGGGGCTGTGTCATTACTGCCACTCGATGACTCCGCATCCTATGTGTTCAGATCGCAAGCAAAAAGATGGCTTTTCTGGCTGCCAACTTTGCTGACTCCATCTGGGATCTAAAATTCAAGCTGTGTCTTTCCTGGCTCTGTCGCTAATAATAAAGATTCTTCATTTGGAACTTAGTTAAAATTGATGCTGATGCATGAGCTGAAAGAGAATCCAGCTTGCTTTCCTCGAGATGTGTGGGCTAAAGCACTAACAAGTAGGAACATAATAATTTTAATCTATAAGGTCATCAGATGATTTAATAGACAGCAGATTTGCGGAGGAAACAGAAGATATTTTAGCATAACAAGCATGTTGATTCTACAGCTTTTTAACAAATGCTAGAAAGCTGATTGAATTTGGTCAGCTAGGCTTCTGCTTCCAGACTGGCCAGTAATAGCTCATTACATGTAGTTAGGAAGCTTTTCTGCAAATCTGGGGAAATTACATTTGGTATAACATATGGTATAATCTTCAGCTCTCTCCTTGGGAAGTTAAGTCTGACTACTCAGTCAATGAACTGCCATATTTTTATCAGCGAAATGGATATGCAGCTGTGACATACGCTTTTGAGTGATGTAACCTTTAATGTCTTTGGCAAATACCGGCATTAGCAGTCTGTTCCTCTCCATTTACATCTCCTCCAG